TCCTTACATGGAATCTAGTTCCAGGACCAAGTTGCTTAAAAGAGCCATTAACAGAAAGATACTACATTTGTCTTCAAAACTCCAGAAATGACATTAGAAGACTGCTAGAAGAGCTGTGTTTCACTGTTCATCTAGAAAGCAGACCAGAAGCATAGCTTCATATCAGCAGAAACAACCATACTTTTCTACTGTGTATTTATTGGCAGCTCAAACTTTATTTTGCCTACTGTTGCATTGCTTAAAACATTATGAAATCCAATCCAGAGTACTACATAGATTGCTCCAAAAGTAATGCCTTCTATTTATTTCCATGGAAACTGTAACAGATTAAAAAAAGCCACAATAACACTATTTGATAGAACAAATTCTCAGCTACAAAACAGTTTTTTCTACATAGTCACCACCACTAGCTATGTATTTTTGCCAGCAATGAATGAGAGGCTGCATGCTGCACTTGTAAAAATCTGCATCAGTGGAGGTGACCCACTGTTTCACACTTACTATGATGGTGCTTTTGCTATGAAAATGCTGTCTACTCAGTCCATCTCTCATTGGAAGTCAGAAGGTGCCAAATTCAGACTATACTTTGAGTGTGTAGGACAGTCCAGCCAACAATGGCAATGTGTTCTGTGGTCTACAAACTGGTATGGTGCCTGGCATTATTGTGCTGCAAGAGAAAGAAACTGTGTTCTTCTCTGGCTCTGTAAGTTTGAGACTTCAGCTTAGTTAGTGTCTGTGTTGTGGTCAGAGTGGATGGTTTGTCTGGGTTTCAGAAGGATAACCCCTTTCCTATCCTAAAAGACAGTACACATAATTTTACCCACCAAGGGCAGCTTCTTTTTCTTCAATGGGGAATTCATGTGTCACCACTCTTTGAACTGTCATTATGACTATGGCTTGTAGTGGTGACACTGTGTTTCAGCACCAGTAATGATGTCATCCAGGTAAATGTCATCTTCAGCCTCCTATTGATTCAGTAGGTTCTGACAAACCTGCATATGGTATTCTTTCTGTTCCTGTGTGAGCATTCATGGGACCCACATGGTGCAAACTTTGTGATATTCCAACACTGCCACCACCGTTTCCAATGCACTGACAACAATATTCAGTTCTGTACACAGTTCCCTGGTCATAATCTGCTGATTTGCACAGATGAGCTGATTGAGACCCTCCTCATTTTGTGATGCGACAGCTGTGCATGGCCATCTGAATCTGACTTGTCTTTCATATTGCTGTTGCCACTGCTGAAATGCATGACACAGAGCCTCACTGTGCTACACCCACTGGCGTCCATCAGCATTCAGTAATTGTCAATGAATGTCAATGGGTGACTTTTTTTCTGCATGGAGGAATTAAATTCCACACCTTTGCTCCATACACACTTCCACGTCAGATGCCATTTGTCAGACTGCCCCTCTGTTGCCATCTGTCACACCTTAACAACATGTAATGGAATACAGATGGGAAGGTTCAGTTTCTATTGCCATACCAGCAACATCTGCCACTGAAGTTGTGGGCCAACATCATAAAATAGGAGGCATTATTTTCTGAGTAGCCCTTGTATAATCAGATTAAAAAACATATTTTTAATATCTGTTTTTCATATCCACTGACAGAACACGAGTAGCCTCTTTACTAACTGCATGTCAGATCTCCATTTCAGAGTAGCAACTTCATATTGTTACAGGCTGCGGACATGCATTAAATTGTTTTAGAAGTTTGAATTTGTTTTTCCTGAAGACTTAGAGCACCAATTTGTATGTAACACAGGTATCACTCAGCTTTCAAACAGCACTATGAAATGCAAGAATCTTTAAGGAAACCCACTGTGGCTTTTGCCATTTTCACATCCTGAGTAACAAGACTCAGTTTCATGCAAGATGCACCAGATTAACTGAAGAGATCTATTTTCTCAGTTAAGAATAAGGCTCTATTTTGAGTTCAGTGCTATTTACTATTGCTGGTGCTTATTTCCTGGGAAAGAAGAAAGAGTAAAGAGAAACGCATCTTCAGGCATCACCAGGGCATAAGGTTTAGTTCTCTTATGGGCAGAACTGGTGTCAAGTCCAGTCTGTCAAACACATGATGAGAGGACTAAGATTTGCCAGCTAGCCGGTGCCATGTTTGTGGTGCTGTACAGTGCTGCTGGCAGTGCAGGCTGCTCAGAGAGCCTCCTAAAACGATCAGTACTGTGACACAACTGATAAATGAATACACAGTGCAGTCTGGCTCAAAGCATGATTATTATTTTTTTTTTCCTCCTAATCTGCTCAAGAAATATGGGAAATATGTTAGCTACAAATCTCTATTTCATGGTTTGGTGGTTAAAAAAAAAGACAACAACAACACCAAAACATATGGGCTCATTAGTCTTTTCCCTACTGCTTTTTTTCCTAGCCTCATACTTTATTCAAATCAAAAGCTTTTCTCCATGCACCTCGCTCTGCAAAACCTACAGACTGGCAGAGGTGGGGAAAACAAACAAACAAAAAACAAAAAAACAAAAAAACTCCCCAAAACAACAGCAGAATTGTTATTTCTATTCAAAATAGAAGACCAAAACTGAAACTAAGTGTTTTTGTTCAGATAGTCACTATTGTTTTGTTTTGCTTCTCGCATTTTTTTTCCCGGAGGAGAAGGCTGTTAGTTCTAGAAGTCAGCTGTTGGCACAGCAACATTACCAACACAAAGGACTCTGAAATGGAAACACTGATTAGAAATACTGTTATTCTCCCCATTTCTTCTTTGCTAGTCTTATGCTAAAAGCCTTAATCACTGTTACTATCACTATACATTAAAATTTAGAATATTGCACCACTGCCATACTGTTCTAATATATGGTACTACAATTAATATGTACACCACTACGTACACTGAAACATTAGCATCTAAAGTTATCTTAGAATGTGTAAGACATGCATTTATCACACATATCTTAAACATAATCAGCTGAAATTATTTACACATGAAAAATTTAAGCAGAGCTGTGTGGGAGTCCAAACGCCTTTTAATTGCCTGTAACTGCAGCATTTGTTCCATGCTGAAATCAATTCCACATTTTCTAGAAAACAATTTTTTCAATAATGAAAATCATTTTGATGGAAGAAAACAGAAACCTAGAACTTTATCCTTCAGAACTGCTACAGACTACAAAATGCACTTTAAAAGGAAATTGTGAAAGCCAACACAATCTCACATCACATCTCTGTTTTAACGAAATGACATCTCTGGAAAATATTCACTGGCACACAGCCAAACAACTCTCACTATACAAACTGACATACACTTTGACAGCGATAGTAACAGCTACAGTTACATTCCGAATGCCTCTTTTTGTCTCACGTTAATCAGGGTAACAGAAATGACAGCAAATAATTTAGCCTGTGAAGGCTGCGAGTGGTGGGGAAGTCAGAAAATACAAAAGGAGAAAAAAAAGCTAGAGAACTAGGAAGTTCCCTTCATCCTACAGTGCTTCCAGAATATAAGAGTGCATTTATTAACTGTGTTTCGTAGGAACTCCCACAGAGTATTCTCTGGTAAGAATGTTGGGCAATTCCAAAAGGAGCTGTTACTCTAAGTGCTGTTTCAGAAACATTCAAAGGAAATGGCAGGGAAATCCTTCAGTATATCACCACCTTGTCACTGTATTTTTCTCACACCTTTACAGGAAAAGCCTGTTTTTTCACTATGGATAAAGACAATGTTCAGTTCTGTATTAATGAATGTATAAACTGCAGACTGGAAGGAAATTAGAGTCAGTTGCAGAGGTACTTCTTGCTGTTGCTTTAAGGGTGCGAATCTGACTGACGCGCAGCTCACTGGGGCAGCCCTCTTGCCAAGCCACCACGCTCAGAAAGCAGCCCCTGGCTTTTTTATGCCTACTGGAATCTGAGTGCAGCGAGGCTCAGTCTTAGTCCCAGGCATGGTCGACAGTTTATGTCTAATGGATTATGCGTAGAGCCACTTACCAGAGTCAACACCCGTCAGAGATCTCTCAAGGACTTTCACTTGGAAATGGCTCATAGAGTTAAAAATAGATAGTTTACTGAGGTGACAGATAACAGATTGAGAACTGACACTGATAAGCTCACTAGCCACATTTACCTAGCGCTAGTACCTCAAGAATAGCCAGTAATTACCTAACAATTCACCCGGGTATCATCTGCAGTTATAGAGACACAACATCTTGGTATCTTACTGGGAGAGGTGATCCTGCTATTGGGGACAGGAGGATGGGTCCGACCCATAGATAAGTCCAGATCAATGCAGTGTCTCTTCTCAGCAAAATACTGTCAGAGGGCCAGATTTATGCTCTTAATGAGGTGAGACTGAATCAGTGTGCTAAAAGGCATGCTAGAAGAAGGCTTGCATTGTTAATTAAGTGTGGGTTGAGGCCAGTGTCTGGTACAGAGGTGGGGCTGCTCTCCCAGCTTCACCAAACTGACACCTTCATTGGAACAACAGCAGGCTGGGACACCTCGGCCCCGTTCCAGGCATCTTTCATTGATGCCATTGCCAGCACGCCTCGGGTGAGGTGTTAATCAGCACATCTCCCCTCCATATCAGTCCAGTGTTTAGGCCAGATAAGCAAGTTGCTCAGCTCTCACCTTTGTTCATATCCAGACAACCATGTTGATTAATTCACATTCTTGCCTTACCTATAATTCTCTGCTGATTTACTGTCACTGTACTTTGTCAAAGCAAGCCTGGTGATTTTCTACAATTTGGTTTTAGAGGGTAGGATCTCTATAGAAAAAGGGAATGACCCCTCAAAAGAGCCCTTCAAGAAAGTGTTCCACTACATTTAATATTTTTGATACCTTTAATACATTTAGTATCTAAAACTCAGCATTAAGAACCATATATGTTAGGAAAACCCTTGTTCACATAAGCAACAGTATGAAGGGGAAACCTAATGCTGATAGTACTGGCTGAGAACAGCTGAAACAGTTGTAGTAATCTTTTTTACCATTAGAGAAAACTTTCAGTTGTAACATTACCTCTCTACAACATCTTCTCCATTCCAGCAGGTTGAGCTGTCTCTCATTACCAGGTCTCCATCACACAGCCTTTCTGCTATAGAGGCATAAAAGGTTCGGGATCGCTTCATGTAATTGATGAATTCTCTGCAATGGAGGAAGAATACATTTAACAACAGAACCGTACACAAGATTTAAGCCCCCTGTAAACTTAGTTCTCTATGAAAATCAAAGTTTAGATCCCACAGAAAAATTAAAAGTCAACCAAGCTAATTAAAATTTATTTCTAGTGTATTTCTACTACTGCGTATCATCCATTATCACATACTTGTCATCACATGTTATCATCACATTGTTATCACATACAAAAAGCAGTTTCAAGAAACGTTAACACTTCAAAATCTTAAAGAAATTCACATCTATAGCCTCAAGAGATTAAAAAAAAAAGAAAAGAAACACCATCACTAAAAAGAGTGGTGCTGTTCTGTTTTGCTTTTTCCCCATTACTGGAATCAAATACTTCTCCCTTCCCTGCACACAAGAGAGATAAATAAAGAACTGTCAATAAGCCCCTGGGTGGAAAACGCTTCCTAAAGCTAACATCCCATGACAAAACCTGTAATATGCCATTAAATACACATGGAACAAGAGAAAAGAATGCCATCTCCTTGGGATGTGGTGGGGCCATTTCCTCCCCATAATCACTATCCACATCACATTCATACTGGAAAGAAATTTCTCTCCCATCAACTCTGGCAACATGCCCACAAGAGATGGCTGTGTCTGCCGCTTTGGAGCACCACCAAAATTCCTGGCCTGTGCAAACAACCCATTTCTGATTACATACAGAAAAATGCCTTGTGGCTAAACTGCTGCCTCCAGAATCTGGTTATACACATAATACGTATCTGACTGAGGCAGCCAAAAAACTGCACACTGTAACAAAACAAGTGTTAATTCAGCACACAACTGGGAGCACTGTGATACAAGAAATTACCCTCTATCCACAGATCCAGAAGCTCCTATTTGGTATAAGATAGCTAAAAACGTTGGTAAGGAGGACACAAAAATTCACTAAAATTATCACAGAGCTATCTGCCTCCTTTTGGAAGGCTCATTCTCCTGTCAGGCTGCAGGACAACACTGTCCTGAAGAGGTGCCTGGGGATGCAGCTGGGTGGAATTTGGCACATGAGCTGTCAGGATGCATTACTTTTTGGGGAGTAACAGGTGCTTTAAAGAACATTTAAAGCTACTATTACGCATCTATCCTGAAGGCTGAGACAGGGTTATTTTCCCACATAACAGTCTTTTCACTTCCCCATTTTTTTTTTTTTTTTTTTGCCATCGTATGTGTCTAACATGTGACTATCCTACTCTAGATAAATGAGTCGTCATATAGTCCTAAGGAGCAAGCTTACCCTAGCACTGCAAGAAAGCGGAGGAAAGAGTGAATAGGAATTTTTGGTTTTATAAGGAAGAAATCAGTATTTCTGCCTCTTGACCACTCACAAGCAGGAGCTCTGTGTATGTACACACTGAAGTTAAGCCTGGACACCTCTTGGACAGAATCATCCTGAGAGCATCTATTTATGGAAAGCTGACACAGATGCTGAAGATTTTAAGCCCTCTAAAGGCAGTTTCCTTTGAAGGAGTTAAAAATCACCCCTTTAAGAGAGGCTAAAGCTCATCTTACTCAGCTCACCCCAAGAGGCTTTAACTCCAATTTTTCAGCAGTGGGGTTCTGACATATTAAAACAACATCTTTGCAAACGAAGATCTGTATGTGCAAGTCTTAACCAATGAAAGCATTTACTTTTCATCAATATAAAATTAAACACGCTAGGCAGAGAAAGCAGTGTTTCCTAATGTCTTGCTGTATAAAATCAGCACACACAAAGGTATGCCAATTACTAGATTACAGCTAAAGGAGCAGCTTACAATGGAGATGAGCAAAGCATTGAATCTAAGCATGTCACTTTGTTTTCATCCTTACCGAGAGATTTTTTTCAAACTTCTTGATTTGTCATTCTTTGAAGCTTTCAGAGGCAGAGAACTGGAATTGGCCGGGGAGAATAAGCATCAATCAGAGATTGGGAGTAGGAGAGAAGCAGGAGTTCAGGCAAATGAGGGAAAAAAAAAATGAGAAACAAAAGAGAAAAGTAAAAATTATTTGAGAGAAAGGTCATCAAGCACATGCATAGGATAATATAAGAAAACAAATAAAGAGGAAAATTGTCATGAGATTTTCCCAATGTGTAGATGCAATTAAACATGTCAAAGTAATGCTGAAGAAATACAGAGATTTTGTTTCTCTCGATCATTTTCAAGTAAGAGCACAATAACAAATGCAGCACACAGCCAAAAGCTGAAAATAAATTCAGTGGGACTCAAATTAACCATAACCGATACCAAATGGAAGAACTGCAAATATATGAGGCTATATAGGGAAATAATGAGAAACAGTGTAGAACGATTGTCATGGAAAAGGGGATACAAATGAGTAGAACTTGCTTTCTTGTGCAATGAGCAATTTGCTCTCTTAACAAAGACTGCATACACAGATATCTTCTACTGTTCATTTCTGGACAGACTGCATCAATGACTGCAAAAAGCAACTTTACAAAGCAGAATATATGGGCTTTAGGATTGTATCTGAGGAAAAACTGGAAAAAAAAATCTGGCAGTTACTTAGTGCAAGTTCATTTTTTAGGCACTGATATCAGAGGTCCTTCAAATAATACTGTCTTTAACATCCTGATGCAATTTAATGACTTGAAAACACATTCTGCTCTTTCTTATACCAGTACTCTTAAGCATAATGGCAACACCTGGAGTACAGTATGCCAACAAACAGATTCAGTGATAGTTGCCAATCCAGTTAAGTCCTATTGGAGAGAGACAGTACCTCCACCTCCTTCAGTAGCTCTCAGAAAACCCTGCCAGAGCATATCCTGTTTTCTGGGAACCAGGACAGGGCTGACCTGCTATGAGCATCAGGTGCCATCCACCACCACGGAAGCAGTGCTTCCAACACAGCCAGTCAAAAAGAGAAATCAGTATTTGTATCAGGCAGAATTTGGACCAGCTGAAACTTCTGCCTTCATGACCTAGAAATGTTTTGTTTTTCTCTGCAGTAAATTCATTTGCATTCGGTGCTAACAATTATGTTGTACTAGCACCTTACTACTTAGATTTCAATAAAACCATGTGATGCCTGATCCAACAGATAATTTCAAATAAAAGAGATGATCCTGACTTCCAGCCTTCCCAAAGATATGAGAAATTTTATTTTAAGATGTATAAGACACATCCACAAGCTCACAGAATAACAAAGAAATACCACCAAAGTATCATTTCAAAGCTTGCTTCCTTCAATTAGGGACTTGATATCATGTTGTATTCTTCTCAAACATAACAGAACTCTGTAGAAAGATCTCTATCCAGTCTGTGTTTAGTGGCTGGAAATACTGCACACAGAAGAAATGCCAAAAGGCATTTTCCAGGAGTCTGAACCTTGTCCAGTGTTGTACATTGTGCTGAACTCAGCAACAACATTCCAATCTACTGATCTAGATTCTGTACATGCCATGTACATTCTGTGTACCATCATATGGTTTCAATTTTCTTGTCATCTTTACTATATGTTTTAGTAACCTCCACATTAAAAAATTACAGAAGCACCAATTCTGACGGCTTCAGTTAATCACTGAATACTATTGCATAATGAAAAAAAAAGGTTTTAAGAAATGCATACTTCTCAGCTTAATCAAGGAGATGATTTGCTAGGAGATCATGCAGCAATTATTCAAATTTCATCTTCTTAACGTTATTTTCTTCCTGATACTTAGTGCTGCATAGCAAAAAATAGGAATGGGATGTGGGGGAAAATAAAGATGAGAAATCTCATAGGAACCCATGTGACAGTGAGAGAAGCAGAAAGCCCCCAGCAGATCCAGCTGCTGCCCAAATTCAGGGAGTGTGCAGGACTACACTGCACTGCACAGCAAAGGGTGATTCCCTTGAGTGGAACTTCCTCCGACCAGACCCTAGAAGACACAGGGCCAGAAGAAAGCCCAGCTCAACAAAGAGAAACCATCTCAACAGGCCTAGCTTACAAATGCTTGGGAAGCTTTGGCTCCAATGAACAGGTGAAACCAGAGGTTCTCAGACTCTTTGGAAAAGGAGCTTGATTCTATAACTGGCTTAGCAAAGATGCAGTACCTTTAGAACAAGTGTATGTATGCAAGTATAAACTGGTACTAGGTTTTTAAGTGCATCTATAAGGGTACATCCCACAGATTTGCTGCTGCCCTGACTGGTTCTTTGAGCTTAATGCACTATTCTAGTGCATGAAGAGAGTGAGCCATCGCTTTTTGTTTTCCTGGGGAGTGTTTAATCATTCTTTTTCTTCTTTTCATTTTCTTTCCTTACTGTATAAAGGAGTCATGCTCTGTATGCCATTTGAAACAAGGATCATTTGGAGGGCTGTGTACAACACAGACAAGCAGCCTGGGGCTCAGCTGGGATGAATCCCAGTGTGACCTAGGATCTAAACTGACAGACAACTGACATTATTGCTCCTGATTTTTTAAATTGCCAGAAGGAACAGCACTAGGAAAGATTCACATAATTACTTTCATAACCTAGATCCCCTGCAGCAGTAACCTGTCACTAAGTGCCTTTTGTACAACCCACTGCAGCAATGATTTTACCCATCATTATGACATTTTATTGCCTAAAATTACTCTTTATTGATATATGTGATTGAATGATAGATGGCAAACAATAGAAGCCATTCACTGTGTGGTTGTTTTTTTTTTTTTTTTTACTGTTTCACAGTCACAGAAACAATGTACAAACTTTATGCTATATGTTTTATTGCAAGTTCTGGAAAACATTCTCCACCTTTTACTAATTATGGCTGCATCACTAACTTTTGATGCAAGAGCATCCACAGTACTTACTGATGCTATATTTCAGTAACACTTAATCCTAATTCTGTAAGGGTGGCCTCACTTTAGATGTTTGGGGTAATGTAATTTTTAGAGAACAGACAAAGTCTGGGAAAGTCTAACCCATAGAGAATAGTTCAAATACATTTTCTTTTCCACTTAAGTGGAAAGAAAGTCTTTTTCACTTACATTTTAAAAGGTGAGCATTCAAATAATCCCAAAGGTATGGAGGGGATCCTAAACTGCAAAAGAACTGCTGTCATGCTACTAAAGACACCAATTCCCAATTTCTGTGAGAGGTCACTATTTAACAGGCTGTTAATTCTGCCTTTGTTGTTGCCTGGATTTAAGTCCCAGTGAAGTTATACAGAAGATATGTTTTTAAAACCATAGAATTCTAAGCCTATTTTGTTAATAGAACTACCACCATTCTTTGGATTATTTCTGCTGAATTTATTGATTTTCTTAATGCCCTTTTCTCTGATATTCTGTGTACGTTGTAAAAAACCGATTAGTTCCAAGCCCTAGCACATTTTCAGTTTTAAATTACACAAGGATAAAAGTACTGCTATCACTCAAAAAAAACTTTGCATGCTGCTATCTCCTACCTATATAATTTTTTCTCATTCTCACGATAGGTGACAATTGAAATAAAAACAGATAAAAATGCCATCTTCACAACATGGACACCAGGACCCAGGCTATATAAATGTTAATACTGCTGTTATCAACATACAGAGATACACACAGACTCCCTGGGAATTTTAGATGCTTATACCCAGAACAATTCCATTCACTTTGTTCCAGAATTACACTGGTGTTACTGAAAACAGCCTGTTAGCCAGAAATATGTCATAGTGATTTTATAGTCAGCTGGCTCTGATATCTATTCACGTAACATCAATGAATTGCAAAGACATTCTTCCCCCACCTTCACATTTGCAGAAAGCTAATCTGGGAGCAATGGAAGGAGTGAAAGAAAGTGAAAAGAAAGATCAGATAACTATGGAGCAAGGACGCTCACACCAGGACTGAGGCCAGTGGCAATAATTCAGCATTCTAGTTACTCAAATGGCATGCAGCTGAAGAACAGAAGCCAAAATGGGCACAAAATCCTGAACAGAAGTAGTTCTGCTCTTCCTCATCTGTGCAATGAACCAGGCAGATTGCAAGGAATCTTACTGCTTGCACCAATGAGAAGGGAGAACTTGCTCTTTCTGCCCTGAGAAATCACTGACTTTGTGTCATGGTAATGAATCTCTCCTCTCCACCCATTTCCCCTTCTCATCTCAGCCCTGGGGTAAGCCTACATCCTCTGGGTCCTGAGCAATTGCATTTTAAGTAATGTAGACTCAACTGTGGAAAAAACTCAGACTTTAGGAGGGAAAAGCTCTCATCATTTTCATTGAAAGTTTCTGGAAATAAAAACACCTTGGTGCTAAATAGTGACATCAAGTCTGGCCTGTTGTTTTTGGAGAGATCTGCAATGCAATATCACATACACATTTGTCTAACTATCAGCAATGGCAATTGTGGAGTACACATAGACAGGATGACAGAATTATGTATCTGGCTTAAAGGCTATGGGACAAGGAACCACTAGCATGAATTGTGAGGCAGAGTTTATCTGAATTCAGCTGTTGCTTAGGGTTACCTTCTTTTATTGTTCAGACTAGCATGAGCCAATACAAGCGTCTGGGCTTCAGTTGCTTTCTTCAGTGGCACTATATGGCCTGATGACAGGTTCCCTTCTTGGCGTTTGGGCTGTCCACACACTTTATCAACCTGTATGAAAGAAAGGGAAAGAAAAACTGTTTGAACAGTGAAAATGATTTCTAATTCCCCAAGGGTCAGCCTGCTCCTTGTTGTTGGTATTTACTAGAAGAGAAGGTGTCCAGGGGACAGAAATAAATTATTCTACTTTCCAGGATCTAGAAACTAGCTGTCTGCAGACAGATGAGCTATAGGGAAAAAAGCCAGTTACCAGAAAGCCATCAACTGTGCACTTGTCACTGGATACCAGACTACAACACATCTAGAAACAAGCTGAAATGGTGACATTTCTACATAGATCAATTTAAAGCTGACTGATGAAAGTGTTGCTAAATCCAACTTTCATGTAGAAACATACTTGGAGAGCATGAAGGTCAAGAAATTTTAGTGGAGCATCTGCCCTATGTAGAGAGAGCAGAGTCTTATGCCCTATTTGGATTTTGAACAAGCTTATACTCAAACAAGCTTCCTAGCCTTTAACAAGACAATGTTCCCTTAAAATAAGTAGAAAAATTCAACACAAATAAATAACTGTCAATACAGTAAGTGCTCTTTCCATGGAGAAACAGAACCAAAAAACACCACAGGGATCACTAGCGCCTGAGATCCTAGGTCCTGAAGACTAACGCTGCTCAGCCACATACCCTTAATGTCCTTCCTGGAGTCTCTCATAAGGGAAGAAAACAAGCATGCATTTATCCTTTGGGCACTGTGCATTTGACATTGCTCTACCATCCTGATACATTTATCTGTTTGTATGGGAACTGCTGAGTCACGGCCTGAACCTCTGATTAGTCACCTGAGGCGAGCAATGAGGCAGCCCTGGGAGCACAGCTGAAAGCAATTCCTGTTCTGCAGGAAGGGGTGGAGCCTGGCTCCACCTCTCCTAGACCCATTTAAGAGCTGACTACCAGTGGGGAAGGATTTCTCTCTCTCTTTGGAAGTTCCACTCCACTGGAGTTTCCTGAGCAAGCCCATGATATGGGTAAGCCTCCTATCTATTCTCTTTGTCTCACTGTGCCTAACTCTCTTGCTTATTTTATTATTATAACATCTTAATATTATTTGATTTTATAATATTCCTTTATATAATTTTCATTGATTATATACTTGGCAAGCCAGGCAGGCAAGCTGAATGTACTATAACTTACACTATGTCCTTTCTTTGGAATTTCTGTAAATGGTTCAAGGGGGAGAACACTACCCCCTAGATAAGATAATTCCAGGGCAGATCCCAGGGTTTGCGGGATCCCCATTATATGAATTGGCAACTATCATTGAAAAATGGGGCCCCCTACGTGTTGTGGGAAACATCTCCCCATATTGCCTGGCAGATTACTTTCAGGGACTAGTCAAAGATATTTTAGTCACAAGAGAAAGACAATTAGCTGCTTCTACAGTGGCATGGCTGCTATTAAATGCTTTAAATAATGCTGAAATGAGGAATAATACTTTAGTGAATGAAAATGAACTTCTAAAAGATTGTATTGAAAAGTTAGAACAGGAACTTGGCCTATTAACAGGGAAAAAAACAATTCTACATCTTCCAATAGGTCAAGTTCATAGTATTTCAATAGACAATGACCAGGCTCCTGAATCAACTGACTGTGTTGATCAGGAAAATACAAAATCTAAATCAGATCTCGAATCTCCAATTTTGATAAATGCACTTGAAGTGTCCTGTTATAACTCAAAAAACAAAAAAGTACAGGACAGACCGGCAGGGGTGCCGCCTGATCAGTAGCCCCCTGCTCAGACCCACTTGCACATAACAGCCTGGCTGTACATGGCAACAGAACTGATGGACTCAGTACAGCGACTTAAGCAGAAACCTAGAGAAAGTGTGCTGGCTTGGTTATTAAGACTGTGGGATTCTGGGGCAGAAAGTGTTCTGGTGAGTGGCCCGGAAATAGCCAAATTGGCTACTATGACCGCCCATCCTGCTCTCAGGCAGAGACTATATGCAGGTAATCAATATATTGATGAAAACCATTCTATAATGAATGGTTAATGGTGGCCTGCCATATGGTATGGCCCAATAAATCTGACATTCCTTTACATACAGGGATGTGGTCCTCCATGGAGGACCTTCAAAATTATATCTGTGAACTAGGTGTAAGGGAAACAATTCATGAAGACACATTTGATGGCCCTGATATGGTCAAATTCTCAGTGGGGATGAGAGACCTAATTATACAACAAGCTCCCTCCCATCTGTATGGCACTCTGGTCTCTATATTAAATCCCCTAGCGGCCTCAGAAGCAGTTGTCCAGCAGGCTGCGCAGTTAGTGGCCGACCTAGGAGAAACAGAATGCCTGTGGAATAGGTGCAACATTCGGACACTAGAAGAAGCCGAGGTCTTGCTGGTGACTAAAACCAAAATACCGGCTACCCGAGCTCCTCAATCGGGACCCATAAGGGTCTCCTGAAAACAAATGTTTAATGATTTAATTTGGGCTGCGTCCAATTTGCTAAGATTGATGGCCAGCCCAACCATATCCTTCTCCAACTGTGGAAACAACTAAAGGACAACCAAAAATTTCAGACCTACCCTAAGAAGCCAAGGGTAAAGGTTATAGAGAGAATGCCAACAATGACATGGAACTTAAAGGATTTCATTGTTTGTAATAGGAGAAAAAAAAGCCGCCTCAGGTGTCTCGGGCTACAATGCCTGAGCCACTGGAAGCAAAAGAATTGGACATAGCTCAATTCATGGCGTGACGAGGGATGTTAGTCCCCCTAGGGCCTCCAGACGGGACTGGAGGCCCTATGTAGAATTAACGATTTACTGGTCCCGAAAAAACATTCAAAGGGTTATGGCACTACTGGATACCGGAGCAGAAACATCAGTTATTTACAGAGATCCGACCAAATTTGATGGAGACAGTGATGATTGCTGGTTTTGGGGGACAGACTATTCCTGTCACCCAAACATGGTTGAAACTGGGGGTTGGGCGTCTCCCACCCCGGGAGTATAAGGTATCTATTGCCCCAGTCCAGGAGTACATCTTGGGCATAGATATTCTATGGGGTCTGGCTCTCCAGACAACTGTGGGAGAGTTCAGACTTCGACAGAGATGTATCAGTACCCGGGCGGTGCAGGCAATATTAAGAGGCCATGCGAAACATGGGCCTATTTGCCTGCTGAAACTGCGCCGGATTACTAATGTAAGACAGTACAGACTCCCGGGTGGGCAAGATGAAATATCGAGAACGGTGCAGGAATTAGAAAAAGTGGGCATTATAAGACCTGCACACAGCCCATATAATTCCCCCATATGGCCAGTGTGGAAGTCAGATGGCACATGGAGAATGACAGATTACAGAGAATTAAATAAGGTCACGCTGCCTATTCATGTGGCCGTACCCAATATTGCCTCCCTAATGGATATGTTGAGTAGGGAGATAAAAACCTATCATTGTGTCCTAGGTTTAGCAAATGCGTTCTTCAGTATCCCAATTGCTGAGGAATCGCAAGATCAATTTGCGTTTACGTGGGGAGACAGGCAGTGGACCTTTCAGGTCCTGCCACAGGGGTACGTGCATTCACCAATGTATTGTCACAATCTAGTGGCGCGTGACCTGGCTGATTGGGAAAAACCTGATGATATTAATCTGTATCATTATATTGATAATCTCCTGCTGACATCCGACTCACTGGAGGCAGTAGGGCAGGCGGCAGATTCATTAACCGCCTATTTACAACAGAGGGGATGGGCTATAAATCCCCAAAAGGTGCAAGGTCCGGGCCTGTCTGTAAAATTCCTGGGGGTGGTTTGGTCAGGAAAGACCAAAGTACTACCCAGTGCTGCCATAGATAAGGTTCAGGCGTTCCCAGTCCCTACAACATCAAAGCAGCTGCAAGAGTTTCTAGGTATACTGGGTTACTGGCGTTCCTTTATACCTCATGCAGCGCAGCTGCTAAGGCCACTGTACAGACTCACAAAAAAGGGGCAGCTATGGGACTGGGGCAGAACAGAACAGGATGCTTTCCAACAGGCAAAAGTGGCAGTTAAACAAGCCCAGGCATTGGGTATATTTGATCCTACCCTCCCAGCTGAGTTGGACGTTCATGTTACTCAAGATGGCTTTGGTTGGGGCCCGTGGCAACGCCAGAGTTCTGTTCGGACCCCCATTGGTTTTTGGTCTCAGGTCTGGCATGGAGCAGAAGAAAGATACAGTATGATTGAAAAACAGTTATTGGCTGCCTATTCAGCATTACAGGCAGTAGAGCCAATAACCCAGATGGCTGAAGTTACAGTTAAGACCACTCTGCTGATTCAGGGATGGGTGAAAGATCTGACCCACCTTCCTGAGACAGGGGTGGCCCAAGCACGAACAGTCGCACAATGGGTCGCCTACCTCAGCCAAAGGAGCAGTCTGTCTTCATCACCCTTAAAAGAAGAGCTTCAGAAGATCCTAGGCCCAGTGACCTATCATTGTGATGCACCAAAAGAAACACTGGTCGCTCCACCAGAGAAGAGTCCCCTTCAGGAGGGGAAAATATCTTATCCCTGAAGATGCCTGGTATACAGATGGGTCCAGCAAGGGCAACCCGAGCAAGTGGAGAGCGATAGCATAGCATCCTTCGACTGAGACAATCTGGTTTGACGAGGGGGATGGTCAGAGCAGCCAATGGGCAGAACTGCGAGCCGTGTGGATGGTTATAACCAAGGAACCCAGTGATGGTATTCTGAATTTTTGTACAGATAGTTGGGCTGTGTACTGCGGGCTCACTCTTTGGATTGCACAGTGGGCCACCCAGGAATGGACTATCCATGCCTGACCAATCTGGGGCAAAGACATGTGGTTAGACATATGGAATACAGTCAAACACAGGACTATATGTCTACCATGTCATCAGCCCCTACGGTCACTGGGAAATGATAAAGCTGACACACTGGACCAAGTTTGATGGATTGAGAATTCACCCTCTGAGAACATTGCCTGTTGGTTACATCAGAAGCTATGGCATGCAGGACAAAAGACAATGTGGGCAGCTGCTAAATGT